TTTACTTCCCTTTCCCCTCCTTTCCCTAAAAAGAAAGAACATTTCAATAGGTAGGATTGGTAGCTCTTGGTGAAGACGGGAGAGAAAGGTTAAGTATGACTTGGATTTTGCATCTATGACAATTCATTATGGTTATATAATCTTTATTTAGCATGATAGTACCATTTTTAAGAGCAGGGGGTCATGCAAGGTCGGCAATAGATTTTGGAGGAAAAATGATGAGCTCAGCTTTGGAAATACTGATCTTGCAGAAATACCCAGGAAGAAATTTACAATATAGATTTGAGTATGTGGCAAGAACTCTCTAGACTTTACAGAGGTAGATTTGAGGGCCACAAGTATACAAATGGTAGCTAAAACTTACTGATGTGACCAAGACTCAAACTGTATTTGGATTAGACACTGAAAAACTTTTCACAGAAAATGTTTAGAGTTAAAGGGATCCATCATGGCTCCATGGCGCCAAGCACTGACTACACAGTGCCTGCCATTGTCATTGTTGTGATGTATTTTTTAAGATTAAGATTGTATTTCTAGATAATTGCCTCTTTAAAATATCTTTGGGAGGAATTAGGCAGAGCAGCATAATGAAGAAAAAAAACTGAACTAGGTATTTAGATACCAGCTTCTAACACTGACTGTTGCCTACTTGGTGCTGTTCAGCGTCACTTTCAGTTTTCTTCTGTGGAAAATGATGTAGAATCAGGTGATCTTCAGTGCTTGGTAGATTACAATTCAATCAGTGATTGTGATTTGTTGTAGCCTGGTTCAGTGATTTTCAAACTTATTGGGTAGCAATAAATGCTCACGCAGAAACACAATGTATTAGGTTGTTTTGGTTGCAGAAGTTCAGTTTAGGTGGTGAAGAGAATGTACTAATTAATTCAGCTACATTATGTGAAAAGGTGCAGCTGGGACTCCAAGAACAAGGTGAACCTGAGCCTGCTGCACTGCCACGAACTGCTCTCTGTGGATCTCATCTTTGTAGTGGTTTCATTCTATACAAGACAGTGTGTGGCCACTGGCCACTTAGACTTCCTTGGTGGTTCTACCACCAAAGTTCCACCTAAAAATACCTAGGAAAAAACTTTTTTTTGCTTTGGCTTGAGTCATATGCCCACCCTTGTAGCCAAGAAGGTGAGAGAGTCTCCTGAGCTGCATCTACCACTATACCTACTTGTGTAGAGCACAGCCAGGAATAGCTCCCTCAAAGGAAAGGAGCAATATTGGAAGAAAAAAGGAAGGCTACTGATGGATAGATGGACAGTATGTAAGATAGATTAAAAAAGTAAAGTTTTAGGTTTGATATACCTGGTCCTCTTTGTGTACTCAAGGTGGCTTACAAAGCAAAAATGCCCTCAGGATCTGAATGTTTAGGAATCAAAGGACTTGAGATGGGGCGTGTAGAAACAGGTGGGAGGCAGGAGGAGACTAAGAAGAACTTTATTTACCATTTTATGGAGCACTAATGTATCACATGGCATACTATTAATAATGGTAGAAAGCATTCATCATTGGCTGAGATAATGGCATCATCGGTGTCAAAACAGTATTTTGAAGAAGGGAACAAAGTGAAGGGTGATAAGAGAGTTGAAATGCCTGAAGAGGTGCAGAGGCAATGAGCAAATTCGAAAAGCCACTCCTCTTGGATGGGCATATAAATGATAGATGGGGTTGAGAGGGGAGAGGAGAGAGGATGAGAGAGTGAGAGGGTGTGGCGGAGAGGCGGGGAGTGGGGGAAGATGGGAAAATCGAGACAAGGGTAGTTCAGGAAAAAGTAGATGTTACTGGAAGTTTGGAGGCCTGTCATGTCCAAGCCGATCCTATTACTGTTCTTAAAATTAAGGTTATTTTACACTAATGAAAATGAGGAGCTAGGTGTGATGGCACACACCTGAAATCTCAGCACTCTGGGAGGTTGAGGCAGGAGGATGGCAAGTTTGAGCCCAGCCAACTGAGAAAAAAGGGCTGGGGATACAGTTCAGTGGGGATATAGCTCAGTGTTAAGGCCTTGGGTTTAATCCCCAATATTGCCCCCCTCCCAAGAATAAGAGGTAAAAATACATTTAATTGTTTTACCAGTTATACTTATTGAATGTTTAAATGTGAATTTTCTTGAAATGTTATGTAGCTATTTAATATGAGTGTGCACTGAAATAAGTAAAGTAAAAATTAATTCACCAAATAGTCATATTTTTCTTACATAAATAAAATATTGAAATAGTTGTCTTTTGAGCAAGCTGCTCAACAGAATTTGAGAAGAGACAAAGGAGTCTGGCATAGTGGCATACAACCATAATCCTCATATTTGGAAGGCTGAGGCAGGAGGATCAAGAGTTCAAGGACAGCCTGGGATACATAGCAAGTTTAAGTCTAGGTTCAAGAAAACATAGCTGTAAGGAATCTTATAGGACCATCTACCTGTGCTACTGTGAAAAATGTGGAGTGATAAGATTTTAGATAAAATATTAATTGCTAATTTTGAAAAGACACAGGTAGTCTCTAGAACCTTCAGTACTTTTATTTTATGAGAATGAACTTTGCAGTAATAATACAGACAAACAAGTGTTTTCAAACAAATTGTACTTACATATTGCTACTATTAAAGCAACTTGGTCAAAAAGGCCTTAATTAAGCCAGAAGTTTCAATTGGATATATCCCTCGTTCAAGATTTTTCTTTAAATTTTATTTTTATTGACATAATTGTACATATTTATGGGATACATTTCAATATATGTATTTGTGCAATGATCAGTTCTGGGTAATTAACATATCCATCATCTTAAGTATTACTAGTCTTCAGCAAAATGCAAATTAATCACAATGAGATACCATTTCATTCTAGTCAGAATGGCTATTATCAAAATTACAAAAGAAAACAAATGTTGGTGAGAAATGTGTAGAAAAAGGAATCTTTAAGTGGTAAATTAGCAGACCCATTATGGAAAACAGTAAAGAGGTTCCTCAAAAAAAAAAAAAAGTGTCATATGACCTAGCAATCCCACTACCAGGTATATATTCAAAAGATATAAAATCAGTATGCCTAAGAAAGATCTGCACTCCCATGTTTATTGCACCAGCATTCATAATAAAGACATTTTCTACTATATTCTAATGTATAATTTAAAGAAAATCATACTAACAAACAAGAAGTCTCCAGAAATGAGACCTCAAAAGTAGATTCTGTTGCCAATCCTTTTGCAAACTTTGATTTACTATAAAGCTATTTTTAAAAAAAATTTTGGTACCAGGGAACAAACTCGGGACCTTGCACTTTCGAGGCAGGTGGTAGAACCACTGAGCTAAATCCCTGGTAAAGCTATTTTTTAAACATGGCTAGGGCTGGGGATGCAACTCAGTGGTTGAATGTCTATGTCAAGCTCTGGGTTCTATCTCCAGCACTGGGTGTGTGGATGTGGAGAGAGGCTGAGTACTACTGTTTTGTTGCTGTTTTGGAATGTCTTTCAGAGTTCTATGAGAAAATTAAAAAAAAATTATTATTGAAAATTTAGTATCTAGTTTTTCATTGCCAACTATTTGAAAACGATTATTTCCTGTAAAATTTCCTGTTTATGTGTCAGCTTCCGCTACAAGGATGACTTACAAGCATAGGGTCTTTGTATCTCCGTGCTAAGTGTCTGGAACATAATACACCCTCTATATGTTTTATGGTAGGTCAGTGAAGAACTAGGAAAATATAGCTACAGGTACTTGAACTTAAGTCTGTGAAGATAACACATTACCTCAGTATTTTTATCTTTGTAGTGTCAGGGATGGAACCCAGGGCCTTGCTCATGCTAGGCAAAAATGCTCTACCACTGTGACTTAACATTTTTTGCGGTATTTATTTTCCCTTTCCCTTCAACATTCGGTAGTATTTCCGCTGGGGGAAATGTTTGTGGCAAGGAAAAATGCTTCGGCAAGATGTTATGGAGAGGCAGGTTCACTACTTTGAAGTGATTTTTTGCTTATAAAGCGAAAGATTTATTCATTGTATGTCAGCCTTGACTAAACAGCTGGAGAGGAACGAGAACGTCCTCGGTCGTCTTTCAGGATCAAGGCCGTTCTGACACCTTTTAGAATGTGGTGCGGCTGGGAGGGAGATGGAAACAATCCAGGTGGAAAACAAAGTAGCCTGCAGTGTTTCGGTCCTGAGGGGCTTCTTCACTCACTCTTCACTTCCCTGGTAACACACTGATGCAGCTGTTCTGCAATGGTGGACTCTTCTAATAGCTGTTCAGTTCCGGGCGAATGATTTGTATTTTTACCGCACCCTGAACGACAACGGCATTTTACCTCGGTAATAGGGACTAAAATGAATTGCAATCAGCACAAGATGATTAGCGTGCTCGACAATACACTCCCGCGAGGGGAAACATCGCGAACGATGTCAAGGCACCCTTGACCTCCACGTAAGTATCCGAGCCTGGGGCGCGCATGAGGAGGAAATTGTGAAAAAGGCCTCTGGAGCCCGTGTCGTTTGCTTTTTTTGAACTGAAACTGTCTCACAAAACCAAAGCCACCCCCCCCCCCCAATTTAAAATGTCAAGGCCACTGTCACACAGAAAACGGCAACCGTTTACATTTCAATGTTTTCCTTCTATAGCTGGCTCCAACGGCGGGGTGTAATTTTATCGCGAGAAGGGGAACTGGAACAGGACGGGCCAAACAGCGCGTCACAGGTTTTCCTATTTACTTTCACACGCGGCCACAGATGTCACTCGTTAGGAAGCCCGCCGGAGGCGCCGGGAGCGTTTCCTCGGCCGCGTCCCCTCACCCCGGGGTCTCACGGGTCCCTGAGCTGTCCCGGGCTCCCCGACCGGCCAAGTAGCCTCGCGCGCGCAGTGCACAGCGCCAGGCCCGTGCAGGACCCGGGCGACGCACCCTCGCAAGTGTCCTCACCGAGGAACACCACCTGGACGCGGGTTTTTGACACCCTCCCAGTCTTCGGAGCTTTACTCTGTTGAAGCAAGGAAAAGAGTAAGAAAACAGTCAAGGCGACGGGAAAAACAGGCACAGCGCGCGACCCCTCCAACCGCGCACGCGCACCAGAACAAACTGCGGCGCGAGGGGCGATGCCAAGCCGCGACTCTGGAGCTCCGCCCTCGACCCGCCTCCTTCCCGTCGCCCCGCCCCTCGGCCCGGGGCGAGGGGAGCAACTGACTCCCGCCCGCCCCTCCACGTCAATCACCCTCCTCCTCGCACTCTCTGCACCTTGTTCTTAATCTTCACACTGATAACGCCGGACGCTCGTCCCCAGCCCTCCGGGGTGCGAGCGTGTGTGAGCGAGCGCGCGAAGGCACCGCCAGCGGGCGTCCCTGCTCAGCTTCGGCCGCCACCGAGTCCCACAGCGGCGCGCCCGGCGCCTGAGGCCGCGGCCAGGCTCTGTGAGGCGCTCGGGCAGCCGCCGCGACTCGCATCCTCGGGTGGGCCTCAGCTGGCGCCCCGAGCCCGGTTCGCTCTCCTCAGCAGCCGTCGCAGCTGCGTTCCCCGCGGCCCGGCCCGGCCCGCCGCCCGCGTCCCCTCCGGCCGGCCGGGCCGCTCCCCCCGCGGGCTGCCTGCATGTCTGTGCTGCCCTCAGCCCCGCCGCCGCCGCCGCCTCCTCCTCCGCCGCCGCCGCCCCCGCAGCTCCGCCGCCCCGCCGCCGCCGCCCGGAGCCCGGCGCGCTGGATGCAGGTGAGGGGCTCGCGGGAGGCGGGCGGGCGCGAGCTCTCTGGAGCCTGAGCGCGCCGCGTGAGAGAGAGAGAGAGTGAGCTCCCCGCCGCGGTGACATGGCCGCGGCGGAGGGGCGCGCGGAGCGGGCTGAGGCGGGGCGTCCCCGCGCCTCCGGGTAGGCTCCGAAGCGCCGGGCGGCGGAGCGCCGGGAGACGAGGTGGGAGCTGGCCCGGCGGGGGGCGGGGGGCGGGGGTCCGCGCGCCGGGACTCGGCGGAGTGGGGCCGAGCGGCGCACCCTCGTCGAGCACCCGGTGACAGCGGCGCCGCGGGCCGGGCCGGGCCGGGCCCCGGGGAAGCGCGCTGGCCTTCGGCGCGGCCTACCCGCTTCGGGCCCGCGCAGGTGAGGTTCGGGGGCGGGACGCGCCGATAGCCGCCGCCTCGTCCGCCTCCGCGTCCCCCGAGGCGAGGCTGGGGCTTCTGCGGGCGTTTCGAACGCGAGTCTTCCCTCTGTGGCTGGGAGACCTGAGAGAAAGTGAAACAGCTACAGATCGCGGAGTACGCGGCGTTTGGATCTCTTCTTCTCACCTTTCCTTCAGGCTGTGCGTGAGGGACTGGGTAAATAATTTGGGTTTTTGTTGGAAATACTTTCTTGTTGGTAAGATGTATTTTTTTTTTTTCTTTCTGTAAGATCAACATTTTCCTTAGAGGGGAGTAAGAAAAGGAAACTGGCTTCCTTGGCCTACAGTGTTGGTGGGATTGGATCGATTCTGTGCGTTTCAAATTGTTTCATCCTGCCTCCTAGGGGGGAAAGGCGGGCGTGCGCTGAGCTGAGGTCGGCGAGGAAGAGGAAGTTACAGGAGCTGTCATCTTCCTCCACTTGGTCTGCTGTTTAGTGAGCTCTTTAGGAAGATTGTGCTCAGGGAGTTCAGCTCAGCTGTTGGTACACGTTAGGCAGTGCCACATTTTAGGAGATACACCCTTATTGTTTCTAGTTATCGAAATTGTCACTCAGAAACAGTCACGTACCACAAACATGTTTTCCTCAAAACCTAGAGCAAACAGCCTCTACCCAGTGTGTGCTCTTGGAAAACTATTTTGAGAGTAGTATAAGCAAAACGCGATTATAAAGATAAAATCCGCTGCTAATAGGCGTACCATGCATTTCGGAACCAAATATAAATGGCATTTGGGTAATTATTTGCTGATTTAATTCGCTTCACCTTTTTATCTAGTTAGCTCATCTAGCTAGACCCCCTACTATGGAGAAAGTCATAAAACAGGTTTGATCCTTTTGACCATGCTCTGTATAAGGGCCAGAGATGGATCTTTGAACCTGGTCTCACAAAGAAATAGCAATATTGTTGCCTGAGGTGTGGGAGTAAGAGGAGGAAGGCCGAAGAGCTGTTTTCTGTTACCACTACTTGAGAAATAGTTTAGTACGTGTAGTTTAATGGCAGAGGGATTTAGTGACCTCAGTCCGAACCCTAGCTATGTCATTTTTCTTAACTGTTTGGCCATAGACAAAGTACTATATGTAGCATTAAAAAACTTTTGCTTTCTTATCTGCAGTAGGGAGATAGTATCTTTGTGTGTGCCTCTGTCACTTGGGTTTGGACCCTAGGCCTTGAATATGCTTAGGCAAGTGGTCCACTACTGAGTTACATTCCCAGCTCTTGTCATTCCTCCTCTCCCCACTACACACACAATTTCATTCTCCTTCAAGTGTTGGGATTACAGGTGTGTGCCAAAGTGCCTAGTTCCCTGCCCTTGTTTGTAAATATTGTCTTGAGTCACACCTCCCTAAATTGCCCAGCCTGGCTGTGAACTTGAAATCCTCCTGCTTCAGCATCCTGCGTAGCTGAGATTACACAGGTGTGTCCCTCTGTAACTCCATCCAGTGTTGTATTGTTCCTTGCTTACCTCCTATAATAACTTTTTAGTAAGGTTATGAGAATAAAATAATGAAAAATGTTTGGCATCTAGTTGATACTTAGTTTTAGTTTTGCCTACTACAGCCTTATAAATATTGAAAAAATTCATAACTATAAATATTATCAAGAGTAATAGTACGTAACTGTGAGTAAAAAACAAGATAATAGGATTTATACTGGGATGTAGCTTAGTGGTTGAGTGCTTGCCTAGCATATATGAAGCCCTAAGTCCCATCCTTTGTCAAAAAACAAAACAAAAATCTTAGAATGGTATCATGGTGAATGCCTTTTATCCTAGCACTTGGAAGGCCAAGGCAGGAAGATCACAAGTTGACATATTGAAGGCCAACCTGGGTTACATAGGGAGATCCTGTCTTGGAAAACCAACCAACCAACCAACCAAACAAAAGAAATCAGGACTGTGGAATAATTCAGAGTCCTTTGATATGCATACAGTATATATAAACATTTTTAATAAACATAAGTTTTTTCTAGAAGTAAAATTGTCATTAATGTAACTCACTATTTTAGTTCATAGAGAATAGTTATATTTCGTATTTTTTCATACTTTTGAATAGTCCATCAGTTTAATTACTTACGAGTTTTTGTTGTGTGGCCCTGAAAAAAAAATTAAGGTAGCATATACATGTTCTAATAAAATCACACATTAAAAGGATCAAGGAACCAGAGTTTATATAAAGCCATAAAGAATAAGTACCACAGAAAATTCTCTATATAATTCAGTTCATGTTAATTCTGGTAAACAAAACCTCATAATATTTTTGAGTAGAATAAAAATCTTTTAACTTTGAATAATGTTTCATTTTTATTGTTTTGTGTGGGGTAGTAAATGTGTTCATTGAATTTTAACTGTATTGTCTGGAAAAAATGACAATGGAGTATAAAGTAAAAGCTAACAGAAAGTTCAGTGAAAGTTTTTTTCTTTTTCCTTTTTTTACTTGGTGAAGACAAGGCAAAGAGAGCATGGAGAGTTTCATTGGTTTAAGTTTGTGATGTCCCTGTTTACAAATGCCAGTTTTCTTAATTAGGCTCTATTTCATTATTATTTGTATCAACAAAGATAAACTTAAACTAACTAGATTTTTCTAAAACTAAAATTTTAACACATCTAGTTTAATTTTTTGTATATAAAAATTTCTGCGAGGTACTGCATTAGAATGCAGAGTATCCTACTTAAAGTGTGTGTTGTGGGTATGTGTGTGTTTACAATGAACAGAATACTCAACTGTCATATGATTATATTTAAAGAAAGAATTCTTAAAAATTATACATGATAATACTTATAGAAATGAATTTGCCTTTATTTGGTAATTTTTATTAGAGACAATGAATTATGTGGTATTTTAAAAACTTGCATATTTTTTTTTGTAACTTGAGAATTGAGGAAAACATTTCTCTGCAATTATAGTACATGATTTTGAGCTACTTGTATTTAGACAGTGAAATTTATTAACAGTGAAATTTCTCATGCTATCATTGTTTAAAGGAACTATATTACAACAAAATAAAGGTAGAAAATTGTTTAAGTTTTAATTTTACTTTTGTATTGGAGATTTAGCCCAGGACCTCTGCACTGAGCTACATCTTTCAGCACTTTTTATTTTAATTTCTAAAAACAAATTTGAGACAGGGTCTTGCTAAGTTGCTAGCCCAGGCTGGGCTTATACTTAGGATCCTCCTGCCTTAGTCTCTCAGAGTGCTGGGCTCACAGGTGTGCACCACCACACCTGGGTATGTTTTAAAATTTAGTGTTACTTAAAGGGGCTTTTAAACAATCTTTCAAAAATTCTTATTATGAATGTCTTATTAACTAGAGGGAATTAGAATACTTAGGAATTTCTGCATTTATTACTTTGGGGAATGTTAATTAGGATAATTAATAACACTCCAGCATTCCAGTGGCTTAACAGTTTTTTTCTCTTACATGACAGTACAGTGCAGGTGCTCCTGGGTAGCAGGCCTGTGGCTTTCCCCCAAGTGGTAATTTAGAGACCCAGGCTCTTTGTGTCTTGTCACTCCACTACTCTAGGATCCTGGAATCATACCTGTTCCCCATAGATCTTTACTAAGCAAGAAACCCCAGATTGACAGTGACATCTCCTCATTTCATTGTCAAGAATTTGTTACAGAGCCTTATTTGAATGCAGAGGGGATGGGATATGTAGTTCCCGGATAGTACACCTCTTGGTGAGCTCTGCTACAAGGGTCATTTTGTGGTGTTATTTTATACAGTAGCATATACTTACGAAATTCTGTCTAAAAAGTCAATTGTACTTAAGAATTCCTTTCCATCTTCAGAGAGTAAAATTGGAGGAGGAGGGAAGGAGGTATGGAGAGAAGGTGAAAAGGGATAAAAGCTGAGAAGGGGGAGGAAGAACTGACATGTAAGGGGCTTGAAAGACAGTGTACTTCAGGTATTTAAAGGTAAACAATTTTACAAAGAACATTATAATTGGATCTATATCCTTTGGTGGGTGTCTTTACTGTTCATTTATTGATTGTCATTGTGGTTTATTGGGTTATGGTTGTTTGAGTTACTTCTCTTTGTTCTTTGAAATCAGTTGAGATAAGTAGGGCAGAATTCTTCATTTTTCTAAGGAAACATTTTAAAAAGAATTTTCTTTCTCTCTTGGTGGGCAACAGCATTATTACTGTTTATACTTAAGAGAAATATCACTTAAGTGAACTTCACCATGTTCTTGCTGTTTGCTGTTGCTGTTTTGTAATTTTAAAGTCATTAAAATTAATATATGTAAAGCTTAATCCAGAAATAACAAAACTATCAAGTAAGCAATGAAGGCTTAATTATTAACTTGTGCTTATGCTTCATGATAAAAATACTACAACTTTCTGTTACTAACTTCACTAACACTGGATCTCTAATACATTAAATGAACTTTACCTCTGGCCAACTTTTCTTTTGCTTTACTGAGGATCCACTGGACTATATATATTCCCAGCCCTTTTTATATTTTATTTTGAGACAAGGTCTCAATTGCCCATGCTGGGCTCAAATTTGCAATCTTCCTCCTTTTGCCTTTCTGGTAGCTAGGATTATAGGCAACCTTA